GTAATTAGAAGTGATTATAGGAATTATGAGAGAATAAAGAAGGAGGAAAGATGTGCTAAAAAGTGCTGATAGTGAAAGATACAATAAAGGAGGGAATCGGCAGAAACATTAGGAATTCATGCCTTGATTTAATATGGATGGATCAGCTTTGCACACGATTTTAATATTTTTAGAGACACACTTTAAAAAATGTGTTAGTTTTCTGAAAAATATTTTAATTCTGTAATATTTTGATTTTTCTTTTTAATAATCTGTATATATTTTATTTTAGATGTTTATATATGTATTTTTAAAAATATTTTTAAACGTTTACACTTATTTTAAAAGTTTTATCGAAAAATCTTAAATTATTTGGAAACCTTATCCAACAATAAAGGAAAGGAAGGAGGATAGAAAAAAAAAAAAAAGTTAAAAAAAGGGGTGATGAGAAGAGAGAAAATGAGAGAGGACCAACTGGAACACTGTAGTTGGAAGAAAGAATGTAATACAGTATTGGATGAAAAGAGAACGAGAAATTGGGGACGTGGAAACAAACAGAAGAAAGGAGGAAGAAGATTAACAAAATAAAGTTAATGACAGGGTGAGATGAGAAAAGTAGTTACATCCAAGGGGAAATTGCCACCATGAAAGAGTTGCGATTCCAAATGATACATTTCATTTGTGTAATGGCTCTGCATTCATTCAGTGTTATTACAGCACTGTTCATGCTAGCTCCATTTGTATGTCACCTTTGGAGTTAGGAAGCGAAGAGTTAGACGGGGCTTCTGGTACTGTGAAGAATCCTGGCCAAACTTTGTCCTATTCGCTGTCCCTTTACTAAGAGTGGATGTTAGCCTGGATAGGGCTTTGTGAGATCTAAAATGTACACTGTAGGCACTATAATTATTTATTATAAAGCAACAACAAATTCTGCAGTGCCTGTACAATGGATGGACTAACAGACCTGTATTTGTAAACAGATGAGTTGGATGCACCGGAGCAGATGGGGTTGAGGGCCCTGCTCATATGAGCTTACATTTTAGAGCGAGTGGGGTATAGTGACCCAATAGGTAATAACCATTTCATGTCGTCTAATTGGTTATAATGAAGTCCCCTGTCACTTTTCTTCAATTCAGTGTTAAACTTAACTACATATAAGGGTCCCTGGCCACCCACAGCCCAGTCCCCACTAGATATGTCCATGCCACAAATTGCACATGTCCTTTTAGACATACTAATTAATGCCAGCAATTGACAATGTGATAGGCTGAAAGTGACATTGTAAGCTAATCTCAGCTGCTTATTGCTGCTCAGGAAAATTCTTCCAGGGGACTCCAGACACTATAACCACTTAAAAGAGATGAAGCAATTACAGCGCCTACAGGGTCCCTTTAATCCTTCTCTAAATGTAGGCGTAGCAAAGCCTGACTGAGACAGATGGGAATTCTAGTCCACAGCATGGACCAGTGTCCATCAGTGCTACAAGGTACACTGTTGTAACCACCAGCACTGTAAGGATGGAGATGCACCACTATACTATGCTTATAAATGGAGTTCTAATGATTCACACTTTCATGAATGCATTACTTTTACAGTAGTTCCAATGTTGCACTCAACATTTTGAAACTGACATATTTAAAGGGACACTCCAAACACCTAAAGTACTTTGGCTTGCTAAAGAGTGTGTCCTCTTTTTTTTAATTTTTTTTTTTAATAAAAAAAAAATACTTTTTTTTTTTTTTACAAAAAGGCCTGGTTTGTTTAGCTCAGTGAATGTAAACTCAAGAGGCAGCAATGGCAACTAAAGACTTCTTATTAAGCTGCATTGGGAAGTCTGATTGGACAGCCACAGAAAAGAACTGCAGCTTTTGCACACTATTTTTTGATTTACCCCAAAGAAAAAAAAATACATAATTAAATCCATGCACGTGCTCAGGGCTGCCATCAGAAATTTTGGGGCCCCTGACACAGCTCAAGATCTGGGTCCCCGGGAGCCACCTCCGAATTCACCCGCAGGTATGCAGTGTGTGTGTGTAGTGGATGTAGTGTGTATAGTGAATGCAGTGTGTGTGTGTTGGTGGATGTAATGTGTGTATAGTAAGTGCAGTGTGTGTGTGTTTGTGTAGTGGAGATAGTGCTTATAGTGAATGCAGTGTGTGTTTTTGTAATTGAGATAATGTGTATAGTGAATACAGTGTGTAAATTGGAGGTAGTGTGTGTGTATAGTGACTGCATAGCATAGTGTGTGTGTGTGTGTGTGTATATATATATATATATTGCATAGTGTGTGTGTGTGTGTGTATGTATATATATATATATATATATAATGCATAGTGTGTGTGTATGTGTGTATATTATGAATGCATAGTGTTTATGTAGTGGAGGTAGTGTGTGTATAGTGACTGCATAGTGTGTTTCTGTGTGTATAATAAATGCATAGTGTGTGTTTGTGTAGGTATGTAGTGTATGTAAAATAGGAGCTGCAGTTAGTGGGGGAGGGGAGGAGCACTTTTTTTTAACACACACACACCTGTTAAACATTTATTTTACCACAGGTAAGAAGCAGGGATGGGGGAAATCGCATTCCCTGGTGGTCCAGTGGCCAGACGCTGTTCACTGCAGTGGGGGCCTGCAGCACATTCCAGCTTTCCTTCCCAGCAGCTCCTCTGTCTGTAACTCACCCGAGAGTGGCCTGCATGCTATGCGGAGCATTGCCATGGTAACCAGTGGCACTGCTCTGACTGCAGCGGAGTGTGGTGCGGGCCCCCATCTCAGTGAACAGGAGCCGGGGGCCTGCAAGGCGCAGTGCACACACACATATATATATATATATACATATATATATATATATATATATATATATATATATATATATTTTGAAAATCGCTGTTAAGTAGTGTGTGTAAGGTTTGTGGTATACTATGTGTGACTAGGGACTGTAGTGTATAATTAAATAATCATAATAAAAAAAGAGGGATATTTATTTCACCCTCTTTTTTTGTTACCTTTGGCCAAGGGAGAGTGGACATCCTGGTGATCCAGTGGGCTGAGTGGACACTCTGGCTGGTGGTGCACATCATCTTTCTTCTGGTAACCATTGACTGAGTTCCTTCTTTGGGCCACATTCACCAGATGTCTGCTCTGCATGGGCAAGCTGGCAAGACCCATTTGATTTCCCTTGTCTGCCTCAGCCCATGGCCATCATGGCCCACCGGGCATTTCCCTGTTTGCCCATTGGCCACTCCAGGCCTGGTTCGTGAGCACTGCGCTGCCTTAGTGTCAGTTGATGCGAGAAACCATGAAACCAAAGCAGATTTGGCAGGACAAGACCCCAAAAGAGGGACTCATTTTGGAATCCTGAAAAAGTTCACCCTTTAGTAAATAACCCTGCAAGAATGTTGTGATTTGTAGATTAACAAATGCTTGAGGATTGCTCAACCCACCTTCCAGTGCACCACTAAATGAGTCATTGAATGGAATAGAAACTTGAAAGTGTGGGAACTTGTAATCTGACACCCGGAAGGCCATAGGTAGTTAGAATAGCACTGCTCACGTAAAAACACAGCAGATGTTTGTCACCTCTATAGGTTTCAGGGTTTGCAGAGTATTCTGGGAAATGTAGTTCACACACTGTTCCGTGCATAGATTAGCAGTTTGTGAGATAGAGGAAGAAATCTGGTGATTGGGCAGAGTTTGCAGAATAAAAAGCCCTAGAGCTCTGGACCTTGTGAGACAAATAAAAGGTAATATAGAGAATGGAGGATCTATGGCAGAGAGAGGGGCAAGCGAAAGCTGGGTGTTAAAGTCAGAGAATGAATGCTTTACAGCAGGCAATAATTCTCCAGGATTTATACACTAGTTATTTATTCTTCATTTAGCAGGTTTTAGTGCTTCTAGTTGCGTTTTATATTCGCTCAGAAAATATGGGCATTGTCAGCGAGAGTTTCTCTCGCACACTATCACATGTATACACGTCTGAGTGCAGGCTGCAGCAGCAGCAGTCCATCTCCTTGTAACACACACACACAAACACAGACACACTATGGTGCAGTATATTTCACAAACACCAAGTAAAGCATGCAGGAGTCTATCTCTGCCTTATGCTTTTCTTAGAGTATGTACAAAAGCTGGTTTTGTTGTATTGGCTTTTTAGTGAATTTTAGGATACTTTTTTTGCATATTTTTTTCAAATACAATTTTTTATTGTGAATGCAAAATACATGGCATACATGAAAGCATCTATCCCAGAAAACGATACAATTATAATAACAATGGTGGTAATACAGTTGGCATATCGAACATTAACTTTTCCCATAAGAAACAGAGTGTAAAACTAAATCAAGAAAAACTTAACTCAAAAACGTAACTCAAATATTATTGTGTTAGTAAATCACAGTCTGTGTGGTCACTACACTGCCCCAAGCAATGTCCACAGGGCAGATAACTAGGTATTAGAAAGGGGCAGCACATCCCATCCGAATGATTAGATATAGAGCAAATTGTTAGAAAAGGATATAATGTTGGGGGTGAAAAAGGCTCCACTAGGAATTGAGGAAGCGAAGTGTGTACTTCCCCAAGATACCTGGTTGTTAATCTGGGGCAACATCCATTGTGTAATGCTTCCTGCTAGGCCATAGTATAGCAGTCACATGAAGCCAGTAGAGCCATTGGCACGTGATATGGTACATAAGCAGTATAATAGTTACATAACTTTTGGCTGCAAATCTTGTGGTAATGAAGGGGATACCGGTGCCAAAGGTATAAGGCAGTGGGAAGTTCCAATAGTCCCGGAGATCTGAGAAGATGTAGGGCAGACAATCCATGGACGGCTGGAAAGATCCAGTAATTGCATGAAACCACACTAAGCTGGATGACCGGACAGGGCAAAGCTAATTATACTTAAACAAAACGAAATGCCGGCATATCGCATCACCCCACAAGCCCCCACTCAAGTCAGGGTATGTATCTGGATTTGAAAATACCGGACGGTTACCGAGACATGTTTCGCAAGGGGTCACGACCCGCCACCACCTTTGTCGAAATCCACACCGTGTACTCCAGGTTGTCTCGCACCTTTGATCTAAAAGAATCATCCAAATTAAGGATGTGTGGTCCCCAAGTCATGAGTCATTTTTCGGCAAGGAGTTCCTTATTGGTTGTTAGCCAATACATTTTGAATAAAAACTGAAGTTTAGATAAAAATAATTGTAAGGTGGGAGCACCTGGCTGGTTCCAGACCTGGAGGATGGCTTTGCGTCCACCAGCTTCTACAATGAGAGGGAATCGTTTGTTAGTCAGAGGTTGACCTGGCTTTTTTTAATATTTTAACTAATTCAGTTGTAACCACTGGCTCTGAAACCTGTTGTTTTAGGGTTACCCTGTGTCTTGCACCAGTTATAAACATTGATGGGAACATTTAGAATAAACCAACATGGACAATCTTATAGAGGCTAGATGAGTCCTTAGAATGATTATGGTAAGCTGTAATATTAACTCCATATACAGGCACTACTACACCACTGGACCCCCAGTAATACAGAGATACAGTGCAGACAGGAGCAGGTCTTGTCCCCCAGAGACACTGTGCAGGGAGGAACAGGTCTAGTCCCCCAGTAATACAGAGACACAGTGCAGACAGGGGCAGGTGTTGTCCCCCCAGTAATATAGAGACACAGCGCAGACAGAAGCAGCTCTGATCCCCCAGAGACACCATGTAGGCAGGAACAGGTCTAGCCCCCCCAGTAATACAGATACCGTATTGGCAGCATAAATGGTTTACATACACAGAGACTATATATGTCTACACATACTCTATGACCGTATAACGTTTTGGTCAGTGTAAGTTTCCCAGCAGGATGGTAAACGAGGTTGGCTGGGAGATCCTATATCCATACTGTAATAGCGATGTGGTATATTCGCTGAGTAGGGGGGTTAGCTATACTCCTAGGCATTCTCTGCCTCTGGCTAGCATAGCAAGGGTCACAAGCAGCGATTCTCAAGGTCATTGCTAACCCAATACATGATGCACTTGAGGCACTGGAGCATTATAGGATATAGATTACAGGGGCCTGGGGCAGGCGAGACAAGGCAGTGAATAAAGGTTTCTAGGCCCAAGTTTGTGTATGTATATTAACTCTTTCAGCATAGCTATTGCTTATTATTGATGCTTAAGAAGTGGTGCTTTTCTTACTAAATGAAAGTAGGACCACTTTCTTTCCATTTATGGTCTTTTCGGGATTATATGAGGACTGGATGGAAATTGGTTATGGAACTCTGTCCTGAACACTGATTTACATTCTCAAGAAGCACATACAAAATGGTTTGTGTATTGTTAAAGGAACGCTCTAAACACCATAACTGCTAAAGCGAACTGTAGTGGTCAGTGCTATGACACCCTTCCACTGTAAATAGTCCAACTGTTCTAAAACTGTTTGACTACTAACAATGGGTGTAGTAGTGATTATGGTGCTTGGAATGTTCCCTTAACTGCGAAAACTATTCAATTTTAAGTGTTGGTGTCTATTATTTTGGGTGTATAAATGATTGTAGTGTTAGTAAAAGCACTTATTGAAATGACAGACATCCATTACTCTTATTCCGACTGTGGCTGTAAAACTCTTTGCAAGAATTTTGAGGAACGTAAAAGGAATAACCAATCGAAAAATCCTGGAATTATAATGGGATGTGAGGGAATGTACAATAGCTCAAAATCTCCAGTATATGTTCCCAAAAGGTAATATATGATTATTTGAGTAAGAGGTTGTATATACCGGAATGGGTTTTTGGTGGAAGTAATGAATACTAAAATATTGAAGGAATTCTGGAATGCCTGGCATGTGTTCAACGGTTTCACAATGAACAAATAAGCAAAACCAGTCAGTGATTTTATTATGGGCAGACTTGGTGGGCCAAATGGCTCTTATCGGCTTTTACAAGCAGCTGCTATCATTCACACAATCTGTTGCTAGAGTGTTAGAAATCCAAAATTGTATTCCTATCACTATAGAGCTCTCTTGCCCTCTCCCTCTCAACATTCCCCTGCAATGAAGGGGTTACAATTCCTTTTAACACCTTACCTGATTCCAGTTCCGAGGTCCATCTGTGCTGGCTCTGTCTCCTCTGACGACAGAGCCGAGGGGGAACCTAATGTGCATGCGCAGCAAGTGCCTCGCCTGCATTAGGCCTTACCCATATTAAAGCATTGAATCCATGCTTTCCTATGGGGGATTCGCAGATGCTGGGCATCCTCATACACAGACTGATGATATCCAGCGTTGTTTCACAGAGTTAAACTATGTGGAAATGCAGACATCATGGACAGATGAGAACAAAATGATGGTACCCAGTTATTGATATCCGGCACAAGAAAAAAAAGATAATAAAGATAAATAAGGGCAAGTGACAAGTAAGACCATGATCATTAATTTACAATGAGTATAAGGAAAGGAAAATGGAAAGTAAAATAAACACGACAGTGCCACTTTAAATGAAAAAAGGTTAAGGTGTAGACTACCTGCAAATGTCAGTGTTGTTGTCAGAGAGGGACAAATTTGCTTTTAACCTAGGAGCCAGCTTTTTGTTTTTTTTAAATGAACAAAGCTTTGTTTTCAACTAAAAAAATACAATACTTAAAGCAGGGGTCCTCAAACTGTGGCCCTCCAGATGATGCTGAACTACAACTCCCATGATTCTTTGACTTACATCGATAGCCAGAGAATCATGGGAGTTGTAGTTCAGCAACATCTGGGGGGCCGGAGTTTGAGGACCCCTGACTCAAAGGAACACTATAGTCGCCAGAACCACTACAGCTTAGGTTTTCAATGTAAACACTGCCTTTTCATAGAAATGTCAGTGTTTGTCACTAGAGGTGTTACTAGGCAGCAGTGTAGTCACTCAGACGACCACTAGAGGTGCTTCCTAGTCCAGTCAGGCTCTGCATTGAGGTGCTTAATGTTTTCCATAGACATCCATTTATTCAATGTCTCTATGAGGAGATACGGATTTGGCACAGCGTTTTAATGCGCATACGCAATAGCCTCCCAATGCTTTCCTGTGGGACAGCATTGGATTGGCTGAGATCATCATGATTGATTATCTCAGCCACGGAGACAAATCCAACTGAGGCAAGACCGGCATTGTGTGGGAAAATTGAGTAAAAACACATTTCCCATTTAATTAGAGGGGGGGCGGTCACCTAAACGCTCACTGATAGACACACTCATTAACAGACAGACAAATTCACTGATAGACACACTCACTGACAGACACACACACTGATACTAACACACTCACATTTTCTCATATACTCGAAAATTATTATTTTTTATTTTAATTTTGTCCAACCAGCCTCCCTACCTTTGGGAGAGCTGGCATTGATTATTTTTCTGGGGTCCGTTTTTTGCCCCGTCTGTTTTTTGTCCTCTGGTATCCTGCTTATGAGACACCAGAGACAAGTCTCTACTATCCCTTATTCGCGAACGCACGCACTCACACCACACACCCCTCCCTTTATTGGATTGTGTAATTAGTAGCCTTTTGTCCCTGGTAAGTGTTTTTCAGTGGACCAATGTTGACTACTACACTATAGTGAATTAACCCTCTTCTGTATATGGTGAACAGATAATAGTGCATCAAAAAGTTGTACATTTCTGAATATTTGTGTTTATATCTCTTCTACATTTTAGAATTGTGAGCTTCTGCTTTTGCTAAGTGAAAGTATTGCACCGTGGCACATGCATGATTTGCTTGAAAGTTTTTAGTTTCTAGTCCCTTTATACTTCAGATTTTGCATCTACTCCATGACTGCACATTTAACATGTAGAATGTTAAAGGGACAGCCCAGACCCCTAAAGCACTTTTGCTTGGTGAAGTGCTTTATGTGTGAAGAATGTCTTCTTTTTCATTTATTGAAAAGGTGCAGATTTCAATAGAGATTGGTACTTTAAGAAATTAACCTTGTTACAACACCCTGACTGTCAGTCAGACAAACAGTCCTGTTACTTCCTGATTGCTTAGCTTAGTGGAGCTGAACTCAAGAGGCAGCAATTTCCTAGAGCAGTGGTCCCCAACCCAGTCCTCATGGACCAAGAACAGTCCAGGTTTTGTCAGTTTCTGGGACTGTTGGTGGGCCATGAGGACTGGGTTGGGGACCACTGCTCTAGGAAATGGCTGCCTCTTCAGTTAAGGGGACTTCTCTGGACTTCTTGTTGAGCTGCTTTGGGAAGTCTGTGATTGGACAGTCACAGAAAGTCTGGGCGAAGTTAGAAGTTAAGGGCTTTTGAAAGGCTTCAGACAATAAAGCTGTAGAAAAAAGGTTGGCACACACCATCCTGACGTCACTAGAGCCTCACAGAGGTCCAATCCAAAGTTTCTCATATAGAAGAATCCTTGGATTTGACTATTTAACCGGCTCAGAGCCTATGCGCATACGCTGAGCCTCCAATGGAAGGGGGAGAGTAAGAAGGAGAAGGGAGGGCAGGAGCAAAAAAAAAATCTGATGTTATAGGGAAGTAGGAAGTCTGCCATTAAGGGGGGAGAAGAGACACAAGCTCCCCCTGGGGAGAAGCAGCTAACGTCTGTTCCCAGCGTGACAATCATAAAATATGCACAGAATTGACATTTGGCAGTCTGGAACACTTAAGTTCTACGCTAACTTACTCACGTGTGCCGGGGGTGTAACTAACCAAGGTGATCATCATGGTGATTGGAGTATCCATTACAGTGCATGCATGTTTACTTTGGGGATATATCAACAATGATTTGTTTGCACATGGATGTCTGCGAATATATTTAAAAATGTACACTTGTGCGTTATCTAAATATCTCAAATAGGACCTCAGGAAAAGTCAGACTAGGTGCAATAATAAAAATATAAATACATTTACCAGAGTGATTGCCGTCTATATATTCACATGCCTGATTTGAGCAAGTGCACTTGCAATTGTACAAACTTAGTATAGCAAATATGTAATTAAGTGCATACCAAAATTAAAAGGGATGCCTTATCCCAAAAGCCTGAACCCTCAATCATTGATGTCTGTTCAAATCCTTGAGGGCAGTAATCCTAAATAAAAAATGTTTTATCTAATTAGCAGTTAATCAACTTTGTGCATCACTAAACAACACATCAAATATTAACCTGAAACAAATTCTTTAATGCAGTTCCATGGACACAGGAGAAATAGAATAGTAATCTGAGGTTAGGATTCATATTTATTTTCTGTTATGTAGAGATCATTTTTCCTTTCTTCTATTGATCAACAGTATAAGGACA